TTAACGCACCTAGCACACCGGCTCCGACCCTACTTATCCCTGCTAGAAGTTTCCGAGGTCTTAGGTTTCTTAGCCTGACCTACCGTTGCCTATGCTTGCTTCGGCTTCCGCTTGGTGCGGAATTATAACTCAAGATCTACATTAGTATACTATTATAACAATAACATGCTAAAAAACTTACGATAGTTGTATATTTTCAGATACGAAATAACTGTATCCTGATTATTATAACTATCTACGTTGATACTAATATACTATCATTTAGACATAATAATAACATATATACAATATTTAGCATGCGTTTCCCTTGAAAATATTAGAAAGTGGGGCTGTGAAACTCACCTTAATATCGTGTTTCGATAGAATCTAACTGAAAACAGTCAGCAGTTCGCGATCACCGGGCTCGGGAAGCGGAAACGGCTTCGGAAAACGAGAGAGGAGGAAGGAGATCAGGTGTGAGAAAACAAATGACCGAACTTCGTATTTATAGGAAGATTTTTCGCCCTCACGACATGAGAAATGATAGGTTCACGTCGTGAGTTATGGCAAGAGTCATCCCGTAGCTTTAAAGCGTGTTTTCTAGCCTTGAATAGTGTCCTGCAGCGTCCTCACGTCGTGAGAAAACCTAGTTCATGTCATGAGCTTTTGGGTTATCATTCTGTAGACTTCTAGCTGAAAAATTAGGTAGTTTGACTCCTCACATCATGAGTTTTAATGCTCACGTCATGAGTCCAGTCAGATTAGGGTTTCTTACACGTGTCATGCTCTCAGCGAGCTGTAACTTCGAAAAGTCATAACTTTTGCATACGAACTTTGTTTTTGATATTTTTATATCCACGCGTAGGTAATTCCGAGTACTACAACTTTATTTTAGATTCCAAAAGCTAATTCTAAGTCTATTTTAAAATCCTCTTGTCATAAGGATCTATACCGTTAGAATTTATCATAACTACTTCATGCGAAGTTAGATTTAGACGTTCTCTATATTTTTTGAATCGTATGGACGTACACTTTGATTTATACTATAAAGTATGTATGAAAGTGCATATTTGTATTAGAATTATCATGAAATACATAGTTAGTTTACTACATTACTTGTTTGACAAAATCACATTACATGATTGGTATAATCACATGTGATTGTTATTGACCTAATTTTGACTAGTGTTACATCTTCCATGTGTTGAACCTTAAAATGTGTTTATCCGACGAAACCCTTGTGATCCCTCTTGATGAGATTGAGATCAACGAGAACATTAAATTCGTGGAAGAACCAATCGAAATCATGGATCGCGAAGTCACACGAACAAAGCAAGGTCACATACCTTTAGTGAAGGTCTGCTGGAATGCCAAACGGGGACATGAATTCACTTAGGAGCGAGAAGATTCAATGCAATAGAAGTACCCGTATCTTTTTCCGAATCCATGATTTGTATTCTATGTTAGAATTTCGGGACGAAATTCCCTCTATCGGGGGGGGGGGGGATGATGTGACAACCCGAACCTTTTTCCATTAACGCTAGTCCGATTTCGTTAAATAGAGTTTTGAATATATATATATATATATATATATATATATATATATATATATATATATATGTTCACACCCTCATTTCTTCAAGGCTGGCCGAAAACACTACTTTCTCTCACTCAAACCATCACCCAAAAACTCAAGAAATTTCTCATTTATCACTCGGAAATCATCTAAATCCACTTTGGAACTTGTTTTGGAGCATCAAGTATTCATCATTTCATCAAAATCAAACACCCTTCATTTCAGGTTTACGGTCATGAACCCTTCAAACCTTCATATGTTCTTCAAGAATACCAAGAATAGGCAGTAAACCACTCAAGGGCCGTAAACCATTCAAGAGTCAAGAACAGTTCACGATCGATAACCATTCATGGCCGCAATTAGCCCTCAGTCGTGAACTTAGCTAAAACCCCGCTTTTTACCAATTCAAGCGAGTCCTCGTAACATTCCTAAACCAAAAACAACTGTTTTACAACACTATAATTAATAGCTTCACTAATAAAATGCATATATGTGTTTAATTATTATTAGGAATCCGTTAAATCTGTATACAACAAATCGTGTTCATAACCCTATGCTTTTACGATTTTTAATGTTTTCAAGGGGAATACAAGCCAAACACAAATGATTTTGTGAACTTATTCAAAAGAATTTCAGCGGGTTTAAAACTTATGCAATTGATACAACCAAAAAATTTGCACATTTTATAAAATATTTAGATATTTTATCCCTTCTGTAACATGCTGAGCGTGAGGGACGTTTTGAACTTACAACCATAATTACATAGTTTCCAGATCAATACACGAACCAGGTACATAACATAAATGCTAAGTATAATAGGTATTGTTTGGGATTACATTGCACAATTTTTTTACAAATTCAAAGCTTATACATTAACAGACATATAAACTATGACATACTTAGTTTATGATATACATTACTACTTTTGGATTTCAAGAGTATAACACTAAATAATTATTTAAGTATAATTATTATTACTCTACAAAGCATACAAACAAATTCAGATTCAAGGAAACAATACAGAACCACACGTAAACTAGCTAATACAGGATTGTGAGACATCTCTTCAATTGTACCCTTCAGGGTACAGAATAAATTCTATTAATTAATGTAACCAGAGTCTCCTGGAGGGAGAGTGTGAGATTTGTGAATAGATATATTCGCGACTGACAATCCCACACCTAAACTGCTAGCTACAGTGAGGCAAGCATGTCTGGGGTGACAAATATATACCGTCCGATGCCTGAAGAATGTCGTAGAGGTTATTAGTCATATCAAACATGGTTATCCGACTCACAATAGTATAAACTAACCTTTGTTTACGAGATTTCATTCTTCATTAGTGTTATTTTAATTAATAGAACTACTATAAATTACTGGAGGATTTCAGGGGATACAATACATGGTTTTATTCTAAGAAATGAAACAACTATACCTACTTGTGGTAACCAGGGTTTTCGAACAGAACATTCTATACATTATTGGTGATAGCCAGGGTTTGCATACAAAGGGTTTTCATTCAAAACAACATTATACAATACAACTGGTAGTAACAAGACATATGAACTAATACTTTATACACTACTACAAAACACAGTAATGATCATATATGTTAGAAAATATTAGATTTTCTTGGGAAGCATACAAACATTTTTACAGATTTAATGATAGGTTTTTCATTACAAAAACACTTTTATGAACTCACTAGCTTTATGCTGATACACTTTCAAAATTGCTTGTATTCTCAGGAATTCAGTAGACAGGTACTCCCACAGGCTTTTGAGAAGACGGAACACATCGAGTCACGTCTTTTATATTTTGCTATACTTTTGATGTATACAAACTATGTATCAAGAAGATGTAAATATCTATATTTCAATTTAATGGTTGTGTTTCCTTTGATTACTATGATGCAATTGGTGTGATACTGTACATGACGTCCTCCACCCCCGAACGTTTCCGCCGTTTCGGTTTGGGGGTGTGACAACCATGAAGGATCTAGAGGACCTATTATATTTTTAAGGCACTGCAGCTGCTCGTGACAACAAGGGAATATTTCTCTCTCAACATACATATGCTATGAAACTTCTTGAGTGAGCCAATATGTCTAACTGCAATCCTTTTCGCACCCCTGCCAACACTTGATCCAAACTAGATCCTTCTGGCCCTTCAGTTTTAGATCTAACTTTATATCGTAGCTTGGTGGGTGGTCTCTAGTACCTCACATTTACTCGTCCAGACCTTTCTTACGCAGTGCAATAGATTTTCCTTTTCATGCATGACCCAAGGGAACCACATCTTCATGCAATGAAGTGTACTGTATGTTATGTTCGTGGTACCCTTGATTATGGGCTTTAATTACACCCATCCTCCACTACGGGCCTTATTGTTTACTCTGATACAGACTAGGGAGGGTGCCCTACGACTGGATGCTCCACTAGTGGCTATTGCATTTTTCTTGGTGAGAATATTCTCTCCTGGTCCTCAAAATGTCAACCAGTTGTTTCTCGTTTTAGTGCAGAAGCTGAATATAGAGGTGTCGCCAACGCTGTAGCTGAAACTTGTTGGCTACGCAACTTTCTTTGCACACTTCACTCTCCTCTTGACAAAGCAACCATTTTCTACTATGACAATGTCAAAGCTATATTCTTATCACCCAATCCTGTTCAGCATCATCATACCAAGCATATAGAGATGGATATCCACTTTGTTGGAGACAACTTTCCACAGGTCAAATCCGTGTTCTACATGTCCTTTCGTCTCTTCGGTATACAGGCATCTTAACCAATGGTTTGCATCATCTCCATTCACAGATTTCTGATCCAGTTTGAGCATTTGTCCTCTTTCGCCTGCTCAAACTGCGCGGGTGTATTAGTGTTTATGTATTATACTTGTGCAGCCATTTGTATTAGATCAGTAGCCCATGTATTTGATGTAGCCCAATACTTTGTATTTGTATATATATTCCATTGTTCAATGAATATTGTTAAATATATTATATTTTGGTTTTGCAATATGTATCGTATATATACTACTCAATATATAACCCTAATACAAATGGTTTTGCACATATTTCATCATGGTATCGAGCCTCACATCAATCCTCTGCACTTCATGATTTTTTTGGTGCCTTCACTTCCTATATGTCTTCTGTCGTCGATCCCAGCTAGCCGCCAAAGCTCCAACAACAGGTTTGAAGTTGTGTCATCTCTTCTAATTGGTTGGTACACTTCTTCTTTCTGTTATTATTTTCCGCTATTGTATCACGAGTACTTACAGATTGTGAAGACCGGTCTCTTTTCAAGATTGTGGCTACTCTTCTGTTGTCTTCTCATCATAGAACTTAGGTTATCGGTACATTGTTTATCTCTGCCTACAGTTCAACACTTTGTTTATTATTTTCTACCTTGATTTAAGTTTATTTTTCTTATTTTCCATGATCACCATGTCCATACCTTCCTCCTCTAGCATATCCACAGCTCCTACAACAAGCCAACTTGTATTTGCCCTCACTAATGTCTATTCTCAGTTCAGTTGTAAACTCTTTGTTGATGGTTTCAAGTATAAGCTATTGAAACGTATTAGTCAAGACATGTACAAGGGTGCTAAAGTGTATGGTCATATCAATGCCAAATCCCTTCCCAAAGATGATGATGGTGAAGATTAGGAGGCCATTTACTCTTGAATAAAGTCTTGGTTTTACTCTACGTGTGATGCAAACCTCCTAAAAATTATATCTAGTGCCAATTGCATTGCAAAAGACTTATGGGACAAACTGCAAGAGTTCTTCCTCAACAAAAAAATGTCCCGCATGCTCCAACTTCAAGAGCAATTTTGAAACACCAAGAAAGGTTCCCCCTCCATTACAGAATTTTGTCACTCTTTAAAGAATTTGGATGAAGCACTTGCGAATTGTGATTCAAAAAGTGATGAGATAGAACTCATAATGCAAATTCTCCATCAACTACCACCATCCTATCATATCATTTTGGATATCATCACTAATATAAAGTGTTTCCCTTCATTCCTTAAGGCTAAGAACATGCTACTCCTCCACGAATCACGAGAAGAATCGATTGATCCAACCAGTGATTCTATACTCACATCTTCCGCTGCACTATTCTCATCTGCACCCACCAATGGAAAATCAAAAAATAAATTTAATAAGGTTGAATGTAATGAACGATTTGCTTCCAAGGGAGGGGGTAGTTCTAATGTTTCCGCTAGCTCTAATTTTTTTTTTCCAGTTACACCGGGCGTTCAAGGTCAAAATCATGCTTACTTTAGAACTCATTCTGCATTCGGATCTGCCACGGGACACCAACTGGGTCTCCTCGGACTAGCTCCTCCTCCTGCTGTCGCTAATGCCTTCTCATGATAGCCCCCTGACGTCGTTCAAATGCAGCCACCAGCTGCTGGCTTCGGTTCTGCATCCTTCAAGCCTCAACAACAATTGCCCGATAGCTATTTTAGCCATCTCCATCCACCTCTGTAGCCTCCGTTTTTTGGACAACATCCTCTTTTTTTGTTTCCACCCTCATCAAACTCTGGCTCCAATGCAACCCGTTTTTCTCAGCAATTTAGTCCACATCAGCACCATATTCAACAGCCAAATTACATTGCGTTTGGGGGTCTTGCCTCATAAAATGGTCAACAACAATTCGTAGAACTCGCTTCTGTTTTTCAAGCAACATCGATTCAACATCCTCAAGACAACAATTACTACATGGATTCCGGAGCAAGTTCGCACATGACTTTCAATCAAGGTATAATCTACTCCCTTATTCCATGTAATTCTAAATTCATTATGGTTGGTAATGTTGCTATTATTCCTGTTCAATGCATCTATTAAACCTCTTTTCCTTTCTCTAATAATAGTCTTTCCTTAAACAATGTTCTTGACTCTGATAAAATTGTTAAAAACCTCATTTCTATTCATCGCTTTTCTATTGATAATTCTTCATCTGTTGAGTTTGATCCTTTTGGTTTCACTGTGAAGGATCTTAAAACATGTACTTCTCTTGAATGTTACTATAGCAATCATCATGATTTGTATCTTGTGCTTCCTTCATCTGTCTCGTCTGTCTCTGCTTCTGCTCATGTTGCTGTTTTATTTGACACGTGGAATCACCGTCTTGGTAATCCTGGACAATCTATTTTTCAATTTATTAAGTCTCATAATTTCATTTCATGTTCCATTTAGAGCTCATCTTTATATCATGCTTGCCAATTAGGAAAACATTGTCGTTTACTATTTTCTCCATCATGTACTAAAACATCTCGTGTGTTTGAACTTCTACATTCTGATTTATGACTTCTCTTATCCCTAGTATTAGTGGTTTTAATTATTATGTTCTATTCTTGGATGATTTCTTGCATTTCTTATGGGTGTTTCCTTTACACTTTAAATCCGAAGTTTTTTCTGTTTTTTTTTAAAAAAAAATCATTCCTATGTTATTAATCAATTTAAAATTGACATCCAACTTTTTTAATGCGATAATGGTCGTGAATTTAATAATCAACCACTCTTGGATTTTTTTTAAATCATGGCATCAAAATCCTATTCTCTTGTCCATATATCTCTCAAAAAAACAGAAAGACTGATCATACCATTCGCACTATTAATAACATCATGCATACCTCATTGATTTAAGCCTCTCTTCCCCTTAAATTTTGGGCTGAAGCTTTGTTACCATACGTTCACACATTCAACCTCCTTCCCACCACTACTCTTCAATTTAATTCCCATTTTGAGATTCTCTTTTGGATCTCTCCATTTTATAATCACCTACAAGTCTTTAGGTGTCTTTGCTACCTCAATACATCTTCCAATGCTCCTCATAAGCCGACACCCCACTCCTATGCTTGTGTGTACCTTAGCCCTGTACTGACCATCGTAGCTATTGGTGTTTAGACCTCATCACTCAAAAAGTTATTCTATCTCGTCATGTCATATTTTATGAAACTCATTTTCCATACTCTGATTTTCATCCTACCTCTCCTCCATCTAACTATGACTCATTCGACTATGATGAGTCAACTCCCTCTCTATCTTCCTTATTCGCATCTCCTCAACCTACTCCCACCTCCTCCTCAACTCCGGTAATCCAAGGTCAACCATCGACCAATGATCCCTCTGCATCCTCACTAGTTACATCATCTCCTCCTCCACCTCCTTCTGGTCATCCGATGGTTACTCGTTTCCATGCTGGCTCTCTTCGCCTGAAACAAATATTCATTCTAGTTGTTACCTCCGACATCTCTCCCATCCCTCGATCCATTGTTCAGGCCATGTGTGACCCACACTAGCGTGCTGCCATGGACTCTGAGATGCATGCTCTTCTTTCCAATCACACATTGGATCTGGTTCCTAAACATCTCTCTACTAATATTGTTAGTTGGCGTTGTCACAAATTTAATAGCCAAGGGCGTATTGATCGTTACAAAGGTCGTCTTATTGCCCAAGGCTTTTCTCAGTAGCCTGGTCTTTACTTTGACGACACGTCCAGTCCTGTTGTCAATACAGCTACCATTCGTACCGTTCTCAGTATCCCCATCTCCCCGAGTTGTCCAATTCATCAACTAGATGTTAAAAATGCTTTCCTTCACGATGATCTTCTTGAGACTGTCTACACGTGTCAGCCCCTGGCTATGTGAATAATAAATTCCCTGATCATGTATGTCGTCTTCACAAAGCCCTCTATGGGTTAAAAGAAGCTCCCTGCACGTGGTACCAATGCTTCACAGTCTATCTCTCCACTATTGGTTTTCTAAGCAGTAGGTCTGATAGGTCTCTTTTCACTTTCCATCACAGTTTTGAGACTATCTACCTCGTTCTCTATGTTAATGACATAATTCTCACCGCTTCCTCCCCCACTCTCATATCCATTGTTATTTCTCAACTTTCATCTGAATTTCCTATGTTTGATCTCGGTTCTCTCTCCTTTTTCTTGGTATTGCTGCCACCCGCAGCTCATCCGATCTTTTCTTATCTCAATCTGCCTTTGCTCAGGATATTTTGTCTCGTGCTGATATGGCTACGTGTAATCCCTCTAGTACCCCGACTGACACCAAAAGCAAGCTTGTTGCTGGGGGCTAGCCAGTCTCTGACCCCACTCTCTATCGAAGTTTTGTTGAAGCTTTGCAATATTTGACTTTTACTTGTCCTGATATTGCGTATGCCGTGCAACGGGTCTGCCTCTATATGCATGACCTGTGCGCTCCGCATCTCCATACCCTTAAATGCATCTTACGATATCTTCAAGGTACGTTAACACATGGTCTTCATATCCGTCCGTCAGCCCTTGATCGCTTGTTTTCCTACTCTGATGCTGATTGGGTCGGGTGTCCTACTACTCGTCGGTCCACTTTTGGGTTATGTGTTTATCTTGGAGATAACCTAATCTCTTGGTCTTCCAAACGACAACCTGTAGTCTCTCGCTCTATTGCCGAAGCCGATTACATAGGGTAGCCAATGTAGCTGTTGAAACTGCTTGGCTTCATAATCTTCTCCTCGAGTTATCATGTCTGCTTTCTTGTGCCACTGTTGTCTTCTGTGATAATGTTAGTGCCATGTATCTAGCATCCAACCTTGTTCAGCACCAAAGAACCACGCATGTGGAAATAGATTTACATTTTGTTAGAAAACATATTACGATTGGTCATGTGCGTGTTTTGCATGTTCCATCAGCATATCAGTTTGCAAACATATTTACAAATGGCTTACCTACTCAATTATTTCTTGATTTTAGAGATAGTTGAACATTTGGTATACCCAGTTCAAACTACGCGAGTGTGTTAAATAGATTATATTTTTGGTTGTATTATTTCCTTTTGTATAGTATAGGGCCCTTGTGTAATATGTATCTTATATATCCTGCTCATTATACGTAACCTTAATACGAGGGTTTGTTAAATAGATCATTAGCCCATATATTTGATGTAGTACAATACTTTGTATTTGTATATATTCCATTGTTCAATGAAGATCTCGTTATGGGAAAAATACCATTTGTCATTGATGGGCTAGTATAAATAGCCCATGTATTGTCCAATCCTCATTAATACAATGATCGGTAGGTGGTAGCCAGGGATTTCTACAATGAAATATTAATTGATCGTGACATGCTAATTGTCTAACGGAACAGTCGATGCCCATAATTTTAATCCTCACAAACCAAGTACCACTAATACTCACTCATGAACACGTAGTACATACAGATTTGTGTCATGTGTCCATGAGTAGTGGCAATTGTGATAACACTGTGTATGGAGAAATTAATATCGATGAACAACAGGCCATACCCAAAGCTAATGACATATTTTTATGCTCCAATAAAGATGTTCCCACGCTAAATCTTTGACTTAAACAAACAGACATCGGTTTGACAACTAAATATGGGGTTTAACAACTGTTGCTCATACGCATTGGCGGAATCAACGACTGTTTAATATATTAATAAGCGTGAGTGGGATTGAAATATGATGGGAAATAGGGTTTGTTTAGTTGGGTGTTTGGTGATGGATGGTTGGAAGATCGAAGCTATCTTTTCGTGTCAATGGGTCTCCATGTTCCTTCACATTCTTTGGTGGGTGATTTGGCCTTTTTGATAATGGGTGAACTGTTTTGGTCCCCTTTTGTCTCCATTTCCTTTAAGGACGTGTTTGCTTATTCTTTCAAGACAAAGAAAATGTTAGTGGTTGTGGTATAAAAACTTTATGCAACCATCGCCCAAAATATATTCTTGAAAAGTCTTGCATCTAAACTACGTATTTTAAACTCCATTTCAGTCATCGTGGATCAACATCTGTTACTTAATTTATTTATTGTTATTGGTAGTCGTTTGTCATTTATGTTAAATGCTTCATATAATAAATGCTTACATCATTTTCAGTTTCTATTCGATTTATACAGCACAATAGCATTGGTCAAATGTAAGTGTCAAGTCAACAGAAAACCGAAGATACATTTATTATTTATTACTTCATGAAAACATATTTTTAGCCATGTAATTGATTTAAATGGTGTTTAACACTTTGAAAACATGATGTGTAACATTGTTAGTCTAGCATTTTGCTACTTTTTATACTTAATAAAATATTGCAAACGTGGGATTAACCCACTTGGTAAATGTAGAATTCCCTTACTCCTTCAATAGAGATTCAATAGCAAAAGAAAAGAAGCAAGGCCCGCTACCACGAAGACTAATCAGACGATAGATGGCACGAAGGTTTCAGATTCAAATCTTGACATAGACAAATTGACTAACTTGGTAAATTTAAAATCTAATAACTAATCAGTCGTTAAAAAAAAAAAAAATAATAACGTAATCAAGTATTATAAAAATATAATTATAAATAAAAACATACATTGATTGA